GTTCCTCTCTGCCGCTCAGGCTGGGTGACTGCGGGGCGGCCCCCTCCCACGGCAGGTCCGACACCAGCGAGGGCTTCTTGATGTAGGGAGTCACCTCCCGCATGAACTTCACTGGGGGGGGAGAGTAGGGGGGACACATTAGGGCCGGACAGGGGTCCTGCAGCTCCGTGCCACAGCCCTGCACCCTGGGGATGCTCTGACCATGGGGGTGTCTTGTCACCACCACCACCCCCCCCTGCACCCGTGTCCGGGCTGACCCCAGGCCAGCGGCTCCGCATTGCCGGGCTTCTCGGCAGCGTCCATGTAAAGCTGTGCAGGACGCTACCAAGGGCGGCCATCCCGGAAAGCCGAGCCGGGAGCAGCCCCCGAGGGATTCTGCTGCTGGGGCCGAGCTCACCGCGGTGCCCGGGCAGGCTGCGGCTCTCAGGCAGTGAATTCGTGGAAGAGCGAGGGGGTGATGAGCATCTCCAGCCAGGAAATCCCAGCGGGAGAGGGGGCCGAGGGCACGGGAAGCACTGCCTTCGACGGGGTGCAGCCGGACGGGGGACAGGAGAGTGTCTGAGCCCAGCGCCCAGGCTGGTGGCAGGGCTCTCCGGCAACTGCGCGGCTGCAACCACAGCCCTGTCAGCGCTGCTGTCCCCGGGGACGGTGCCAGGCAGTGCCCATCCCCAGAGCAGCACCTTCAGCACAATCCCCAGCAGCACGTACCTGCTCAGCCAGCCAGGCAATGTGCTTCACCTCCTTGCCGCCGGCCGCGGCGCCGCCGCCGGTGCCCAGCATGGCGTTGAGCTCGGCCAGGACCTGGGGGAGCAGGGCGGTGATGTTGGCGTGCAGGGCCGTGAACCAGGAGTGCGCCGTCGCCGTGTCCTTGCAGCGCAGGATCAGGGTGTTCCTGCTGTCCGGCGAGTGCAGCTCGATCAGCCTGCGAGGGGACGCGGCGCTGGGTGGGACGGGAGCAGCGGCGCCTGGCTGAGCGTGCCCCTGCCCGTGCCCAGCCCGGCAAACTGGCCGCACTGGTTTGGGGCTCCGACCGTGCCGAGGAGCTGCCGGCGCAGTTTGGTACCAGCCCTGCCGGCAGGCAAAGCTGGGGGGAAATTTCCGTGGGCAGGGGAGGCTGCCGGCTGCCTGGGGGGCCGGGGAGGG